AGGACTAAGAGTAGGAAGATTGTTGAGGGTAACTGTGCCTGTTAAACCTCCAAGCTTGCCCTTTCATTACAAGTAGACTCTCTAGTTTCAGATGACAGAGTAAGTTGGTATCAATATTTCCCTTTATCAGCCATTGACACTTAACCAAAAAATATTGCTATCTTGTTTTTTATATCCTCTGCCTTTCCAGCTTTACGCCTTCCTCGTTCTCTCCTAAAAATATCAATCCCCTCCCTTATAGTAAATAAGCAATATATTGAGACTAAAATACTGATAAAATCTGATATTATATGAAGTGTTCCACACCCATGTCCCGTCACCTCTGCACAGAAGGGTAGAGGGGTGTCTTCTCATTTTTCTTCTCTGAGGTCCAGCTTGGTCACTGTAATTTTACAGTATTTGATTTTGATTGTAGTGTTTTTATTGTTCCTTCCATTTCCATTGTTGTGGTCATTTAAATTGTTTTCCTGGTTTTGCTTCACTGTATCAATTCATATTAGGTACCAATTACCTTGAATTCTTGTCTGGTGTTCCCACAAGTTCTCTTCACATTAGAATATCAAAAGAACTTGTTCTCATCTTGCTTCCTAAACTGAGGAAACCTTATGTCCAAGCTGACCTTCCAGTTTTCTACAGACTTACAAACTGTATTACTTTGAGACTCCGTTGTTCCCAAAGCACAGTGGATCTTGGTCTGTGGTTAGTTACACCTGTCAGCCTTGGAGCCATTAACTGTCTCTTCCTACCCCCACCCTTCCACCCCCTTTGCTCTGAGTATCTAGGGATGAAATGGAGTGCCTAGAACTGGGTAAATTTAATCCATGTTCAAGGAGTACTCAATTAAGAGTGCAGAATGCTACTAAAGTAGCCTTTATCTTGCTGCCAAAATAATTTTTCCTTTGCATAGGTTTGGTCCTTCCTTTGCCTCCAAATCTTAAATGCTTATTACTTACCAAACGAATTTCAAACTCCTCCGCTGGCATCCAGGGTCCTAGTGCTCGACCTTTCTTTCCAGACTTATTTCACGTTAATCTCCTCTGTGTATTCTCATACAAACAAATAATTTTCTCCTAGCCTCTCTCTAAAAACAAAGCAACTCCGAACCTCTTAAACCTGCACATCTGCTCTCTAATCCTTCAAATCAATGCTTAGGCTATTTTCTGTTTCCTCCTCTTCATCTAGTGAGTTCCTATCCTTTATTTTATATTTAATTTAAACAACTGTCAACAAAGAGTTAAGTCAGCCTACAAAGTACAGAATAGCATATTTTATAAAAACCTTCCACTCAAATAGATCTGTGATCTCATAGATTCAGGAAAAGGAGTTCCACCAAAGTAGACCATAACCTATGCATATTTACCCTTCCTGTGCTCATGTGCTCATGTTCTGTAAGTTCAACACAAGGATTCACCCAGCCTTCTAGAAGCCTTCCTTCCTACTCTTGATATAGAAAGGGTGCCAGTGGAGCAGGCTGGCTGTCCACCTGCCATTCCTCATTACCATGTAATCAGCCCATTTTCTTTTCCTATCATATGGTTCTGTGATGATGTTTTTTATTCCTTCTCTTCAGCATTCCTTAATTGTTTTATGTTCCAGACTGCATAAACCCACCATTTGCCTTTTTGTCACCCTCTGTGTGATACTCATTTTTAATTCCGTGGAAACTGTTATATTTCATGTCTTGTAGCCATGAAGCTTGATCTAGCCTTTGCTTTCATGAGAAGTTTGGGGATTAGTAAATAAGTTGTAGTATCTTGAAGGTAATAAACCTTCTCTCTTCCTTTTTCATTCTGGGCTTATCTTATCCATCTAATGAAGGAATTCTTAAACTTTTTTGGGTCATAGACTCCCTTGGCAGTCTGGTGAAGACTATGGATGCCTCAGAATAACGTTTTTAAATGCATAAAATACATAGGATTATAAAGGGAGCTAGATATATTGAAATACAGTTATAAAAATATAAAAAAAATTTATGGACCCTAGGTTAAGAACTCCTGATCTATACTATCTGTCCCATATATACACAGTGTAGGACAAGCTGTGTAGTACTTCTGTACTATACCTCTTATGTTGGGTTTATATGTGTAGATATAGTACAGATGGTTGTCTAGCTGCTGAATGCATGTTGAAATCTAAGCAGTAGATATTCTTTGTCCACTTGATCTTTCCTGTATGGATGGACAGGCCAAACACCTTTGATTATAGTTCATTTCTAGGAAGCTCTGCTGTATTCTGGGGCTTAATGAATTCAGCACAGTATCGTCTGCAAACAGCATCTGGAGGACTTCACCATTGATCAAGAATGCATTTTTTTTTACCAGAAATTTGTGCCAGGTCTTCTGTATTGCATTGACAAATACATTTGGAGAGCATATGACTTTCTGTTTTATACCTCACCTGATGTTTAATATCAGAGAGTCAGCCGTTGGGGTTATTTTGTTATATCTTTCAAGGAATCTTGAATGAATGATTTTGATGTATGGATAATAGACACCTTATTTTAAAAACCTGTAAGGCAGCTTAAAGAAAAATGCTTTTTCATAGCCAATTAAAAAGTGACTCATAAAGATTTTGTATAGATGGGCAAGTAGGTAATAGGTCAGTAGTTATTGTTCATTTGGTTGCTTTAAGAAATTTTTTTTTACTGACACCTTTTGTTTTCATGTCACATATTTCCCACTGTCCTTTCTCAAAAATACCCCTCTCAGAGATCCATTCCTTGTAATAAAGAATAAGAAGGAACAAAGAAAAAGTTCAGTTAATTTAGCTCCCATATTGAAAAAGTCTGATATATGCAGCATCCATCAGCCATAATCCTCTACTGGTAAAGAAGCTAGGTAACATACCTTCCTTTATTTCCATCTTAGGACCAACTTTGGTCATGATAATTTAATAGTATCTAATTTTAATTTTTTTGATGTCATTCTTTCCATTTCCATTGTTGTAGTTACTGTATATGTTGTTTTCTAAGTTATATTTACTTAACTTTACTACCACGGGAGTTCGTGCCCTCATTACCATCTACCTGGATTATTGCTATTGCCTTCTAACATATCTAACTTCCATACACATCTTTAGAAGTCCATCTCTCACAAAGTTGTGTGAATTTTTTTTTCTTTTACATAAATCTGGTCATATCACTGCTCAAAATTCTTCAGTAAATGTCAAACAAATTTGAAGTTGTCTGACATTAAAGGCTACCCACAACTTAGCAACACCTTACCTTCCCAACTTCAACTCATATTTCTTCCTTCCATTCTTCAGCCAAATCCTTTTTCCCCCCAAAAATGCAAAACAAATGAAAAAACAACCAACTTACTGCTTTCTCATGTCTCTCAGCCTTTGCTAAACCTGTACTTTAAAATATACACAATGGCTAAACAAGGGCTGGAAAGCCCTCTTTCCTTTTCTTGTGTTGTTGAGGGTCTACTTTTATTTTATAAAAATTTTTAATCATAAAACTTAAAAACCACTTAAGACAAATGATCAAATATATACAAGGAATAACATTTTTTAATTCTTAATTATATTGATATTTTTTGTTTCTGAATTACCTTTGTTTTCTAATATAGTCCTGCCTCTTTTCCTGCTCATTGATCTATCCCTTGTAATATAGATTTTTTTTAGAGGAGGAAAAAAGGCGTTCAGCCAAACTAATCCATATTAATCATATTTTATAGTAATGCAGTATTTAAGTAATAAAAGTTTTTAAGGGATAGATTTAAGGCATGCATTCTTAGGATTTAACAAAATAGAACTAAATACTAACAGATGACAAAAGAAGAAATATATTTTCTTTGTGACCCTTTCCGAGTCCTTCTCAAGCTAGTCTGTCTTATGTTCTCTTACATATGTATGAGAACAACATGCAGACTTACACGTATCTAGATGTTCAGTCTTTTTTTCAGTCATGTCCAGCCCTTCATGACCCCATTTGGGGTTTTCTTGGCAAAGATACTAGAGTGGTTTACCATTTCCTTCTGCAGCTTATTTTACAGATGAGGAAACTGAGTCAAACAAGGTTAAGTGACTTGCCCAGGGTCACACAACTAGTGTCTGAGGCCAGATTTGAACTCAGGAGGATGTCTTCCTGACTCTGGGCTCAGTGCCACCTAGCTGCCCCATGTATCTAGATATATATCTATATTTAGACATTCTCTCTCTCTCTCTCTCTCTCTCTCTCTCTCTCTCTCTCTCTTTCTTTCTCTCCCGCTCCCTCTCCCTCCCTCTTTCCCTCCCTCCCTCCCTCTCTTTCTCTCTCCCCTACCTTTCTTTTGAAGCCCAACTTGAATACTACATTCTTTAGGAAGTCTCCTTGATCCTGCAGGTTGCTAATGAATGACCTCCCCTTTGAGTCCTTGTATAGCACTTTGTTTTCTAATTGCTGACAGTGAGAAACTTAGCTGATTTTTAAGTCCAACATTAGTCTAGGAGTTCTAGGTTAAGAAGAAAGAGAACAGAAGAGATTGATATTTGCTGAAGAGATGGTCATTAGTGAGGATAGTTGAGTGATAAAGAAGCAAAGAAGTGGTAAGGGAGGAATGGCGGCTGATAAACATTGCAAATGGAAGGCTAGGGAACCAATTAGTAGGGGTTTAATAGAGTATCTAGGGTTAGAGAGAGCTAAGCATTCAAAAATTCTGATTGCTTATTTTTTATTTCTCTGTTACTTTCATTTCTGAATGTCTCTTCCTCCTAACTAATGAACTGTCTCTTGTAACAAAAAAGAGGGAGGGAAAAAAAGGAGTATGAGCAAAACTAATCAGCATATGAATGGAATGTGACATTTTGTCACTGAGGGCAGTGTAGTGGAAATGATAGTGTCAGTGTAGGGGAAAGAGTGCTGCATTTGGAATCAGAGGATCTGGATTTGAATGCTGACTTTGCCACTTAACACCTGTTTGACTTTGGACAAGTCACTTTATTTTTCTAAGCCTCAGTTTACTCAGCTATAACATGAGGAGGTTGGACTAGATGATCTGTTCCCATCTGTTCCTTAGGTCTCTTCCCACTGTAAAGCTAAGAGCGTATGCATTCTTCCATACCCATTCCTGTAAAGAAAGGAGAGAGGTGGATTTTGAAAAGGGAAGAAAGTGATGGAAAAAAAAATAGGTAACAAGTAAAATTCTATATACTTTCTGTATTTCTTGTTTTCCTGAAGCCTGTGTTTTGAATGTTGCCAGTTTGTGTTACTATTGATATACTTTGAGTAGATTGTGAGATGTTTTCCTAAATATTTAATTGGCTTTTCAGGAGAAGAAAAGCAACCTTGTTGATGACCCAAAATGACAAAGCATCCACCAAACAGAAGAGGGATCAGCTTTGAGGTGGGAGCCCAGTTGGAGGCCCGGGACAGATTAAAAAACTGGTATTTTATCCTTTCCTTTTATTTTTTTTCTCTTAAAGTAAAAGGAGATTTGTATGACTAGGTTTTTCCAGAACTGTAGCCAGATCTCTTGCTTGAGTTGTGCTACTCAGTGATGTATAGAAAGAGAAAAACAATTTTATTTCAATAGTCTTTGGTCCCCAGAGCTTTTGGTTCACAGATCACTTCAGTAGGGCGAAGAAGGAACTACTAAATCATTACTATCACACCCAGACCACTTCTGTGTGTCAGGGCCAAGAATAGCAACTTGTGGGTTTCACTGAGTGTCCTATTCTTGTCTTAAACTGAGCTCATTATCTTCTCCTACACTCTCCCATTCTGATGTTCTTCATTTCTTCTTGTTTCCTTAGTGGGCAGAAGACAGACATCGTATCTTTTTCACAGTATTTAAGTAAAGTAGAGCACTATGATTGGTGTTTGTCAGAAGGGAGGGTGCGGAGATGAGTGATGATGATGATGATAGCAAACTCATATTTACGTGCTACTTTAAGGTTTGAAAAATGCCTTGCTCATAAAACACACCTCATGAGGTAGAACAAGCATTATTATTCCTGTTGTACAAATGAAAAAACTGAGGCTCTGATAGATTTAGTGAGTAGGTATCGTGGATGACACATGACCCCAGATAGTTTGATGTCACATCTAGCATTCTATCTGGTACAAAGTCAGAGCTTCATAATTGTTTGTTGTTTGCTTGATTATCTCCTATCCCAGAACCCCTGCTCTTGTGGGTTTACATACTAATCAGGGAGTACAACACATATATAACACATACACAAATCACTATAATACAAAATGGAACAATATATGTGTAAGAGAGGGTACAAACAAAATACTCTAAGAGTAGCATAACAGGTGCCCAAGAGAGTCCCAGCAAAGCGCAGTTCAAGGATCTTAGAAGCCCTGTGACCTCATATCTCCTTTATGATCCTGTCAGATTTCCCTGACATCTTTTTTCAAGCTTTAGCCATCAGCACTTCTGTACTGTTGTTCCTTTTGTTCCTTGGTCTGCCTTCGCCTTTATCCCAGGATTCAGACCTAGCTCAGGACATCTTCTACAAAGTCTTACCTGTTTTACGTAACCTTACCCCTCCTTGATGATATGTTTTCTTTTGTTTTTCCTTGCCCTGAGCTATCTGTTCTTATAGGAAACCATGATTAACTAGCACCTAGAATTCTAGCATAGGAAGATATTCATAGGAGAATGCAGATAAGTGAAAAGAATTGGAATTCTGATTTGGAATCAGAGGACCTAGGTTCGATTCTAGCTGTGCTATTAACTACCTATGTAACACTGAACATTCAACTTTCTCTGGGACTCAGTTATTTCCTCTGTAAAATCAGAGCATTAAATTAGATCGCCTTTGCTGTACTTCCATTCACAGCTCTGTGATCCTACCTTGATGGGTCCAGTGGTCATAATCTGAAGTCCACAAGATGGCAGTGTTTCCACTAGAAAATTAGAAATTAGATTAAGCTAATGATCGGGAAAAGAAAGTTGAGTTGGTATTAGGAATTTGAAGTAATTATGAATACCAGAATACGAGCATATTGTGAGTCTTGATAAAAGTCAAAGAACACTGATTGTTTTGCTGCTTAAAAAAAAAAACCTTAGAAGACTGATTTAGCCTCTCAGTAACTGATTTTGCAATAAGGTAGCTTTGTTATACTGCATCTTCTATTGATGAAAAAGATGGAAGTAACCGGAAATCAAGTTAACACCAAGAATATATTCAGCTGAGCAGATTCTAGGGTAAAGTCCTATAAATACAAATCTATATTTTTAAATGAAGAGAACAGAATTTCAGTTCAGAAGGAAAAACAGGCAAGCAGGACACCATTGAAAGTACCATGTTGAATTTTTATATAAATACATTGGTGGGTTTTTTTGTTTTTTGTTTTTTTGTTTTTTTTGGTTTTAGGCAATTGGGGTTAAGTGATTTGCCCAGGGTCACACAGCTAGTAAGTGTCAAGTAGTTAGTCTGAGGTCAGATTTGAACTCAGGTCGTCCTGACTTCAGGGCTGGCACTTTATCTACTGCGCCACCTAGCTGCCCCTAAATACACTGTTTTAATATAAATACACTATAAATTCAATCCAGTGTTATAAGAACACAATTCAGAATAAGAAAAAAAAAACTTAGGAGCAGTTGGAAATGTTCAAAAATGGAATGGGCTGCTTTCATGGGGTAGTTCCCTAATAATAGAGGTCTTAGCAGAGGGTTGATGTGATTACTTATTCTTGGTGTGGTGGTTAGGATTTGTGATTTGAGTAGGGGTTAGAATAGTGACTTTAGATCCCTTCAAATTCTGAGACTATGATACCATTAACTACATAGTATAATAATTGATCATAATGGTGACTCTGAATCAACAGAAGGTTAAATGATCATCAGTATGCTGTTTCCTATGACACGGAAGTGATGACTATGTTTTACTTTATTTTTAAAAGTTTAACTGATGCCTGTTTTTTTATATCATTTCTTAACAATATACCTTCTATAAAGGGAGCAGGAAATAAACATTCATATAGTGCCTACTATGTGCCATATACTATGCTAATTGTTTTTATAAATATTATCTCATTTGAACCTTACAACTCTGGGAGGTAGGTGCTATTATTATTCCCATTTTACACTTGAGAAACTGAGGCAGACAGATTAAATGACTTACCCCTGGTCACACAGCTAGTACATGTCAGAAGCTGGATTTGAACTGCAGTCTTCTTGACTCTAGACTCAGCCACTAGTTGCCTCAAGAATTCTTATAACTAAGAAAGCATTTAGACAGCAACGTTTAGTTCACTAGCTCTACTAAGAGGAAGAAAATATATTTCATCAATGGTGGAAGGGATGGTTTTAGAAAAACTTGGGAAGACTTATATGAACTGATTCAGTTTGGTGAGAACCAGAATAGTTTATAGGCTAACAACAATATTGAAAGACTTCAGAACTCTGATTGTTGGAATGACTGGTCATCATTCCTGAGTTCTGATGATAAAGCATGCTGCCTGTTTCCTGACAGAGAATATGGATAGACTCTGCACATTGAGAGAGAAAATTTTTTGGATGTGGCCAGTGCTGGAATTTCTTTTGCTTTACACACTTTCTCTATTGATATGCGTATATTGATAGATAGATTTGTACAAGGGTTTCCCTCCCCTTTTTTCCAATGGGCAGGAGAGAAAGTAGATTTGAAAACAATTAAATTTGGAGGCAGCTAGGTGGCACAGTGGATAGAGCTCCGGCCTTGGAGTTAGGAGTATCTGAGTTCAAATCTGGCCTCAGACACATGATACTTACTAGCTGTGTGACCCTGGGCAAGTCACTTAACCCCGATTGCCTCAGCAGAAAAAAGAAAAAAAGAAGAAAGAAAGAAAAGAAAAAGATTAAATTTAATTTTTAAAATACATTTCGTTATTGGTTCTCTGGAACCAAGATTAGTCATTCATTTTAATCTGAATTCTAATATATTTCAATATTTATGTATATTACTGTGGTCATTGTATAGTTTGTTCTCTTGGTACCTCTTTTGTTTTTTTCCCAGTGAGATCCATATAATTTCTTATGGTGTATTGTTAGGGTGTATTATATGAATGTTTTACAATTTGTATAGCCATTCTTCAATCAATGGGCATCCATTTTATTTCCCCCCATTTTTTTTTTTGAGAAAAATCATTTTATGCACAAAAAGTTGCTAAACTCTTCATACTCTTTGTCTGGGTGATCCCATTACTGTGCATATATTCCCAGGAGCTCAGTTAAGTAAAGGTCCCCTTTTTTTCAGTACCAAATATGCATGGCAGTACTTTTTGTAGTAGCATCTAATAGAATAAATACTTTTTGATTCTGAATTTAACAAACAAAAAAAAGAACATTTCCATATGCAGAGGACAATAGAAAGAAAGAGGATTACATGTAAAAAACTCCAACCTCTATCATCTATAGCTTGCTTTAAAAAAAAACATAATTAATTCAACATGTCACTTTTTTTTTGGTTTGTTTTTGCTAGGCAGTGGGGTTAAGTGACTTGCCCAGGGTCACACAGCTAGTAAGTGTCAAGTGTCTGATCTGAGACCAGATTTGAACTCAGGTCTTCCTGACTCCAGGGCAGGTGCTGTATCTACTTCTCCACGTTACTTTCAAAGCTGTCCTGCTTCCATCACTGGCCCCCAAACCTTTCCTCCCTCAAAAAGAGAGAAAACCATAATCCTTGTAACAAACATAGTCAAATAAAATAAATCTGCGTTTGTTATATCTAAAAATAGGTCTAATTCTTCACCTTGACTTGATCACTCATCTGTCAGGAGGTGGATGGGTAGCCTACTTATTTATCCTTCAAGTGGCGGTTAAGTCATTGTACTGATCAAAGTTATAAAGTCTTTCAAAGTTGTTTTTCTTTGCAACGTTGTCATTACTGTATAAAATTTTCTGGTTCTGACTTCACTCTGAATCATTTCATACAAATCTCAGGTTTTTCTGAAACTATCATTTCTTACAGTGTAGAAGTATTCCATTACATTCATTTACAGTGACTGCTTTCCTGAAGCCCCATCAGCAATAATTATTTTCCTTTTTTTGTCACCTCTGCCAATGTGATAGATGTGAGAGAGAACGTCACATCAGTTTTAATTTGCACATCTCTAATTATTAATGATTTGGAGCATTTTTTAATATGGCTGTTGATAATTTGGATTTCTTCCTTTGAGAACTGCCTGCTCATGTTCTTTGATTAATTTACCTCCTGGAGAATGACAGTCATTTTTACATAATCACATCAGGTCCTTTATTAGAACTTTATCAGAGAAACTTGTTTCATAATTTTTTCCCTCAGTTAATTGTTTTTCTTCCGATTTTAACTACATCAGTTTTGTTTTTGCACACCATTTCAGCTTTATCAAAATTGTCCATTTTATCTTCTGTGATTCCCTCTATTCCTTATATTTTCTCCCTTTCCTAATTTGTTTATGATATGACTGTATTTAAGTCATGTATCCATTTGCAGCTCAACATGTTTCCAGTATATTTTAGAAAAATTTAAATCTCAAAGGATTGAAACTGGTTTTGTTTCTTTAAAGCTTTGACTTTGTTATTCAGAAAATTAAGTAAGGCAGGGGTTTGGGCTATGTCAGATTTGTGAGGTTTGTCATTCAGGATACTGAAGTGGCACATGGGAGTAGGTGAGCACAGGTAGCCAGTTACAGTTAGGGATGGGTTAGGGTTCCACTGAGTTCCAGTTATTACTACATTCTCTTTAACTTACACAAATGCTGTCATTTTATTATATGTAGGTATTTTCTCCATAGCTAGATTGTAAAACTCACTGCCTTGTGTTAATAAATATTTGTCAAATGAAGGAACTCTGGTTTTTTAATGCTCTTCTCTATGCTTCCAGCTCCTAGTCTAGTATTGAGTTTTTTTGTTTTGTTTTTTACTGAATTTTTGAGGCAACAGAATATTGCAGGAAAAGCAGAGTTGGGGAAGACTTGGATTTGACTTTCTGCTCTGATATAAGCTATGTGACTTTGGGTAGTTCCTTTCCTTCTCTTAGCTTCACTTTTCTTCATTTGTAAGATAAACTACTTTCACTACCAACCTCACAGAGTTGTTGTTAAGAATCCAGTGAGACACTTTGTAACCTAAAATTGTGTGTGTGTGTGTGTGTGTGTGTGTGTGTGTGTGTATGAGATTGATTATTAGGCTTAGGAGCAATACATGCTCCTCTAAATGTAATTAAATTTTGCATAAATTTTATTTTTACCTCCATTACTTTGTTCTACAAATGCGCATTAAAATAAGAGAATCAATCTTGAAAGCAAAAACCAACTAACCAACCAAAACACAATAAGAGATTGGAAATGATGGGGCATTTCTGTAACTTATCATTTACAGATCACTAAGACCAACACAAAAAAAAGTGTGTACTGACTTTAATGTATTTATACAACATTGTCCTTGTTTTCCTGAACTGCATGTGTGTGTGTGTGTATATAAATGTATCTACATATACACACACACACACACACACACACACACACACACACAATACATGTGTATACACGTTGACTGTTACTTCATGGTAACAGTCAATGTGTATATTCTCTTGCCTCTACTTTCTTTGCTCTGTATCACTTTGTATTTGTATTCTTTTATTTTTTAAAAATTGTTCATGTTCATTGTTATGAAGCAATAATTCTGTTACATCCGAGGTTTGAATTTGATTATATAAAAATATTAAAGTTTTTGTGAGAAAAAATTTTTGAAGCAGGTTTCTCTGATAAAGGCATCATTTCTTAAACATATAGACAACTGAGTCAAATTTATAAAAGTAAGAGCCATTCCTCAGTTGATAAATGATCAAAGGATATGAACTTCAGATGGAGTAACCAACGTTATCTGTAGCCATATGAAAAAATGCCTTAACTCACTGTTGATTGGAGAAATGCAGATTAAAACAATTTTGAGGTACTACTTCATCCCTATTATATTGGTTAATAGGATAGAAAAGGAAAATGACAAATCGTCAAGGACATGTGGGAAAAATGAGACATTAATGTATTGCTGGTGGAGTTGTGAACTGATTCAGCCATTCTGTAGAGCAATTTGGAGCTATGCCCAAAGGACTATAAAACTTTTGCCCTGGCGCAATACCACTGCTACTAGGTCTGTGTCCCAAATGAGGTTAAAAAAAAAACAAAAAGAAAAAGGACCTGTATGTGCAAAAATATTTATAGCAGCTTTTTTTTTCATGGCAAAGAATTGGGAATTGAGTGGATGCCTGTCACGTGGGCAGTGGCTGGACAAGTTGTGGTATGTAATTGTGATGGAATATTATTGTGCTATGGGAAATGATGAGCAGAATGCTCTCAGAAAAGCCTGGAGAGACTTGCGTGAGCTGATGCAGAGTGAAATGTAGTGTGTACAAAGTATTGGTAATACTGTGCAATGATCAACTGTGAATGACTTAGCTATTCTCAGCAACATAGTGATCCAAGACAACTCTGAAGGACTTATGATGAAAAATGCTATCCATCCCCAGAGAGAGAACTGATGGTGTCTGAATACACACTGAAGCAAATTTTTTTAACTTTATTTTTATTGAGGTTTTTTTTTTTGGTCTATGTTTTCTTTCAAAACATGATTATTATGGAAATGTTTTGCATGACTATATGTGTATAACCTATATCAAATTGCTTGCCTTCTCAATGGGGGGGTGGGGAGGGAGGAAGGGAAAGAATTTGAAACTCAAAGTTTAACAAACGAATGTTAAAAATTGTTTTTACATGTAACTGGGGAAAAATAAAATACTAAATAAAAATTTTTAAAAAGCTAAAAAAATATAAAATTTTTGTACAACTCAAAGTTAAGGAGGAAAGAAGTTAACTGGGAAAAATTTACGTTAAACACTTGGAATAAAAATGTGACATTTAAATTTATAAGGAACTGACATCTTATTTTAAGTGAATTTTTAACCATCATGGAGAAATCTTTATTTTATTTATAAAGATACATACACATATACACATATATACATCTAATTTGATGTAGATCATATAGTTGAGTCATTAAAAACATTTCCATATTAGCCGTGTTGCAAAAGAGAAAACAGACCAAAAAATCCCTAAATAATAAAAGTATGCTTCAGTCTGTATTCAGACTCCAGTTCTTTCTCTGGAGATGGATAGTCCTTTGGAATTATCTTGGATCATTTTCTTGCTGAGAATAGCTAAGTCATTTACAATTGATCATCTGTGATAGATGATTAATTGGACCCCTATTTTATTCTAGTCAGTATGAATCAGTTTGATATGATTCCATAGTGGTAGTGATTATAAGTTCTGATATTAGGCCTCAGAGCTATGAGCTGCATATTGTAAGTTTACTTGCTTAATCATATAGGAAGCTAACTAGAGGACCTCTCCCATTATTTTTCCTTGTTATGGTATCTAAGCCCAGTGTGACAGAGGTGACTCAGTTACATGGAAAGTCCCCCAGCTATATTTGTTGCCCCTCCATCCCTTGTCATCCCTCTGTTGGCCAAGTGACTCTGGTTGCTGGCCTGTGGCCTGCCCTTCTGCCAACCTAAATTGGCCCATGTAGATGTTTTGACATCTGCTCATCAGCCCTACCCCATGAGCCTGCTCATTGATTTTGGTAGGACCTCCTGGAAGGTCAAGATAGGTCTGTTAAGGTCTGCTCACTAGGCCATTTGTCAGCCAGTGAGATTCTGTATTTTGTGTAGACCCTTCTGGAGAGTCATGGGCGAGGTCTATCCACCACTCAGAATCTATTTTTTTGGCCTGCTCTGCCTGTATTGTTCAGGTACCAAGCACTATAAAACCAAGGCTCTGGAGGAAGGGAACATCTCAGATCATGAGGAAGATCTCAGGTCTACTTGTCTACTTCATTAGAGGGGGCCATGGAACCTTTAATAAACTGCCATTTGCTCAGAGCTCTGCCTTAGTGTTTTTTCTTGCAGCTTGGACAATTTTGAAAATCTCCACACATCATACAGTGTTGCTGTTACTGTGTGCAGTGGTCTTTCTGGTTCTGCTCATTTCACTTTACGTTAGTTCATGTAAGTCCTCCTAGTTTTCTCCAAAAGAATCTTGCTCATCATTTTTTATAGCACAATAGTATTCCATCACAATCCTTTACCACAACTTGTTCAGTCATTCCCCAGTTCGTGGGTATCCCCTCAATTTCCAGTTCTTTGCCACTACAAAAGAGCTCCTGTAAATAGTTTTGTATATATAGGTATTTTCCTTTTTCTTTGATCTCTTTGGGATACAGACCTAGTAGTGGTATTGCTGGGTCAAAGGGTATGCACAGTTTTATAAACCTTAGGGCGTAGTTCCAAGTTGTCTCCAGAATGGCTGGATCGATTCAGTAGTATGTATTTTGAATATTCTAACATTAAATAATGTTCTATTATTTTAATTTTTAAAAATAAGTTTTTTTTCTTTTGACTTAGGTATCCAGCTCATATACAGGAAATAGACTATGAAGAAGGGAAAGTGCTCATCCATTTCAAACGTTGGAACCATCGTTATGATGAATGGTTCTGCTGGGACAGTCCTTATTTACGTCCATTAGAAAAAATACAGTTAAGGAAAGAAGGGTTACATGAAGAGGAAGGATCTTCTGTGAGTAGAAAATTATGCATTTTGTGAGCTTTCATTCCTGGAACATGCTAATTGCTGGCAAGTTGGCAGCATATGTTGACCCTTGGACTAGTCCAAATAACTTGATAAAGATACAATATCTCCTATATTCCTCTTTTTGATCCTGCGACTGTTGGCCACATTTTCCCCAAATTCAAATGTTGTGGTTGATAAAGTACATCAAATGGCCATTTGAGATTCATGATGTGGAACATAGCTTCTAAAAAAAGTTTTAAACAAACTCTTGGCTGTCTGTATTAGTAGGGAGACAGGCAAACCCTAAATGTTTTACTTCTGTAGACAATTCTCAAAACCCATTTTAGCCAAAAGCTTCAGTTGTCTCCCTGAACTCCTGTTGTTGAGTTCTAACTGATATCATAGGTGATTATTTTCACCTCTTTACTGTTGCTTCATTTTTCAGTTAGAAGTGAAATGACCATAAGGTGAAAGGCACTTGTTTTATCCCTATTAAGTATTTTAAAATCCCTAACATTTTTATAATGCTTTGAATTTTCAAAGGCCTTTATTATTTCATCTTATTGAGATCACATTTTTGGGAAGCAGGTATTATCTCCATATTATAAGTGAAGAAACTGAGGCACAGAGTGGTTATAACTTGCCTAAGGATAACATAGTTTATTAGCAGAGTAAGGACAAAAGCCCAAGTTTTTAGGTTCTTGGACCCATGTTCTTTTGCTGAAGACCCGTTCATACTATCATTTATTCATTCATTAATCATTTGTTGAGTGCCTATCATGAAAAAGTTCCTTTTTCTAGGCTCTTTTTTAGGAACATTACCAGACCTTGAGTAGATTTACATTGATTGTATTCATATTTCTAAATGCTAACCCAGTGCATAGAGCTGTACAGAAAAAAGTGAGAACAGTCTTTGAAACTATTGTTGCAGTAATTAGTATTATAAAGGTCCTAGGAATTATTCTTGTTATTAGGAGCAATAATAACAGTGATGGTAAACTTTGAAGCAGTAAATTATCCATGGTGGTAGTGATATTTTAGGGAGTCAGCTTTGGGTTCTGTTTCTAGCTCTGTTTCCTGACTGGGCAAGGAATTCACACCCTCTTCTTCATTATTGTCACATAACAATACAGTTGGAATTTCTGAACCTTCTCTACTTTATAAGGAGATTTTAAGAATTGATAAGTGCATACATAGTTTTCACATTGAAAGGGACTTAAGTATCATCTTTTTACAGATGAGGATACTGGGGACCATAGAGGTTGCATGACTAGAGTTAGAGTCATACAACTAGGGTCAGAGTCCAGAGCTGGAATGCTGCAAAATGATTCCTTTGGAGAAAAGGTATTATGTAACTGGGGATTCTTCTGTTAATGCTGTTCTCTCTCAAGCTGAAATAGATTGGCTGTCCTGAAGCTTTTAGACATATTTTACAAAGTTAAAATTAGAAGTGTAAAGTGATTATTTAAAAGCACTTAAGCAATATTGTTGAAATGCTATACACTGATCAGTAGTGTTGGTAACAATCTCTTATTTTTGTAGGAATTTCATATAAATGAGCAGGTACTTGCTTGCTGGTCTGATTGTCGGTTTTACCCAGCCAAAGTCACTGCTGTTAACAAGGATGGTAAGATATAAATATTTGTTATGCTTGACTTTAAATTTTACTTTTTGGTTGAGGTATAAGGGAGTTAGAAAGAATAGAAATAGATTGTGGATTCTCAGCAAACATTTACCTCCAAGGTATCTCCTTTCCCTTTTCCCATCTCTAAAATACAGGTGAGTAAAAGAGGAAAGTGTGAGGAATCTAAAGCCCTTTATCCCAGGTTAAACTCAAGCATGAGAGGTGAATGAGATGGTTAGACTATTGCTGTTTAAATGGGAAATTCGTACATCTCCCTATGTAGCCAAAGTAATTACAGGGCGCTAAAAACAGTTAGGATCTAGGAGTCAGGATACCTGGATTCCAGTCCTTAATGTCCCATAAACTCACTTGTGCTCTCGGGCAAATGATTTTTCTTAAGTCTTTCCTGTTTTACTGTTGCCTCCTGCAAAACGAGGGGATCGAACTGGATAATCTTTACTATCCCTTCACTCAATCAACAGATGTTTAATAAGCACATACTGTGTGTTAAGCCCAAAATGAAAAGGTTCCTGGCCCTTAAGGGCTTACATTTTTGGAACTGATAACATGTTCATAAATAATATTTTGAGGGGCAGTTAGGTGGCGCAGTGGATAGTGCATTGACCCTGAAGTCAGAAGGACCTGAGTTCAAATCAGGCCTCAGACCAAACACTTGTCACTTACTAGCTGTGTGACCCTGGGCAAGTCACTTAACCCCAACTGCCTAAAAAAATAAATGGGAGACAATACTATTTTGGGAGAAAAGACATGAGGATCTGGGGGGAATCAGGAAAGTCTTCATGTAAAATGTGTTCCTTGCCAGCTTGAATAATCGGTGGTCTATGATTTTCTGCACAGGCCGGAGGAATGGGACTGTACCAAACAGCTGTTAATAGTAGTTAATTGAATTGCCTGACTCTACCTTTGGGTTTATGAAGTGTGTAAACCAAGGAGAGCTACTGTTACCTTTGTTTGAAGTAGAGCAGAGGGTCAGAGATTCAGAACTGGAGGGGGCCTCACAGGGCGTGCAGTAGAGTTCCCTCATTTTACAGGGGGGGAAAGTGAGGCACAGAGCAGTTGTGTGACTTACCTGGGGTCAAAGCTAATTGTGTCCTCCTGATTCCAAGTCCAATACCCCATCCACTGTGTCACGCTGCTTCAGCTTTTGATGGGCAGATGATGTGGAGCCACCCTTGCTGTCTAATTTTACCTGAAAACGATCCGAACTTGTTTTGTGACTTTCTGTATGGACCACATGAATCTAAATCCTGCCTTTATTCTACTTTTAAAAAGACACACTGATCTAGTTAGATATGTTATACTTTCTTTAGCATAGTCTCCATTATTAAGCATCTTTTCCCTTTTCTTTTAATTATGTGTTTCAGAACAGTTTCGCATTTAACAAAATGATGTTTTTACAGATGAAATTTGGATTTCAGTTTGCTATTGTAGTGACTGACTGACTTTGGAGCAAGTAATTCTGAACCTCGTTTTCCCCCTTTGTAAAATTAGGACTTCAAATTAAATGACTTCTGAGGTCAACTCTAGCCCTAACACAGTGATCGTCAGAGTGTGGTCTGGGGACCTTTAGGGGTCCCTGAGGTCAAAACTATTTATATAATACTGCTCACATGTTTTAACTTCTAATATGGGAAATGTTGGTAGATATAACCACCATAAACAAAAGCTCTTTGGGAGGTCCTCAGTAATTTTTAAGAGTATAAAGAATCCTGAGACCAAATAGTTTGAGGACTATTACCCTAACCACATAGAGCGGAGGTTTAGAAAACATTTTATGATGGTGATGATTCTCATTGTTAATAATAATTCATTTCAACCTATAATAATGTATGATATTGTAAAATGGGTCATTTTGCTTTGTTTGTTTTTCTAAGTTCTGATTTCTGCCAAATAGGTTTCCTTTAGATAACTAGTGAGACCTAACGAATAGAGGAGACATTTGCCTTAGAATAGGCTTTTATGAAGTGCTGTTGTCTGGAATCCTGTAAATTCATTAGTATCCTCCCCAGTGAATGAGAGTGGGGAGTTCTCAGTAGTAATGTTGGTGATAACCAGAAGGGGAATAGCCTTTTTATTGAGGGTCTTTACAGGGAAGAAAAGACATAGTAGCTGGGAAAAGAGTATCTGGGGGCAGTTAGGTGGTTCAGTGGATAGAGCACTGGCCCTGGAGTCTGGAGGACCTGGGTACAAATCACTTGCCTCAAAATAGAAGAGTAGCTGGGAAATAAGAAGCAGAAATGCAATTTAGGAACCACATCTGGAGATGTTATTGGTAGTTTTTGGTTTTGACTTAGATAATGACTATTTAGACATCCTATTGAAAATAATTCTGTTAATTTAGGGAAATTTTGATTTAACAGCTGTGATTCAATTAATACATACTAAACTTCGAAGTGGGTCAGTGACTACGTAGGGGTTGTATTTCTCTCTGTTACTGATTTAGACATTGTACTACTGTGATTTAGTTTCATTTGTCATGTGGATATTACTTGACACTAACCATGAAAATGGGAGAAAAAAATGGTCTTTAGGAGAAAATCACTATTTAAATAATCATCAGAAGTGGTGTGTTCTGACAGTAGTATCTGGAGGGAGAAGCCAAGGTGTGATGCAGAAAATCTCAGCCTCACTCAGATTTTTCGTTGGAATGAATTGCCTTCCTGAGTTTGTGTAGGAAACTTGGTCCAGTATTAAAAGAAATTGGTACCTCCTAGGTTATATATCTCACTAGTTGGCAGGATGAGGCTGAGGAGCCGGCTTGGTTGAGTGGAGGGCCATCAGAAAGCTAGGCTTTGACAGGATCATCCACTGAAATGATATGTCACACGTGGAAAATCTAAGGCTTCCCTAGCTGCCTTATCTTGAAAAATACACAGAAACTTTCTAGGCTTGGCTGTTTTATTGAAATAGGGAAATAAACTTCGCTGTTTTACTATATAGCTATATAATTGAATTGAAATCCCTTTCTTCCTTAGCAGTAGTGGGTTAATTTCATGAAGAGGTAGGAATATCGAGGAGAAGACAGGAGTTTCATTTCTGATCCTGTAGCTACTAGTCATAAGGCTGTGGCATAAGGCTGTATCTCCTTTCTCTGGATCTCCATTTCCCTGTATGTAAAATAGGGATAAGAACATTGGACTTTAAGGCAATCTGGGTTTGTGTAATAGATCCAGTGCTTCAGTTTTCTCACCTCTAAAATTGGATAGTAACACTCATACAGTTCCTTATAGGGTTGTTTTGAGAAAAGCGTTACATAAATGTGAGCTGCTGTTATTGTCTCCCTCACAGGTAGGGTGTTGTAGAAATGTGACCTGTGATTATTTTTAAAAATTCCCAGTAGCCTTGTTAACATGGCTGGGTAGTGTATTTTGGATAACTAGACAAGTGCTCTCTAGAGCCCTTCGATCAGGAAACCTTATATGGTTGATCCCTGACCCTTTGTTTCTACTGCCAGTCCCCTCTCCAAAGGGGAGAGGAAGGAAGTATGGTCACCAGTTGTTGTGCCACCTGTGCGGTTCAGCACTCTCCCATTCCCAATCCAGGAAATATTAATAGGTGCCTGTAGTGTGCAGCCCCAATGCCAGGTACTGTGCTAGTCACAAGACTCTGGGGAAAACTTAAATAGCTGCTTATCTGCTGCTACAGATCATCATCTGTGGCACTAGAGACAAAGTGGGGACTCTTGTAGTAGCTTGAGAGGTCTGCTTTCTTACTAAGCAGTGTTTCCACTTTGTACTTATTGCATTTGATGATGCATTTGGAAATGGAGTAGGTGGAACTATCAGCACTGCCTTGCCCATGGACAAAAGATGAACTCAGGTAGTATTAAGGTGGGGCTCTTCACTTTTAAATGAGTGAATTATTTGTGGAATTAAAACTAGCCTCTTATCTGATAGCAAGAGACAATACTGGGACTAGGAAAACTCACTTAAAAGGAAAAGTGAAGGCATCCTGTTTGAAAGGTAGGATAAAGTGTGCATTTGGAAAATATTTAGTTACTTGGGCCAGTGAATAGGAGACCTTATGATTATAGGATTTAATTTTCTAGTTGAAACATGGACTCTTCCTTTGTAATTAAACTAACTAACTGTGACTGTGGTCCTAGTCCCTCTGGTTTTTAGTTGCCCTGGTTTCTTCCTCTGTAAAATGAAGGGTTGGACTTAATCAGAGGTTCTTAACCTACGATCCGTGTATCTCCAAGGGATCCTTGGATAGATTTCAGGGGGTCTAAATTTGGAGGGGGGAAATTAATTCGTTATTTCAATATAATTGATTTATTTTGTAATCCTGCGTATTTTATTTAAGACGTTGCTCTGAAAAGAGGTCCATACACTTGACAAGACTGTCAAGGGAGTCCATCACACAAAATAAGAGCCCTTGGCTAGGTGATTTCCAAGATCCCTTTCAGTTTTGTCATTCTGTGATGGATGGGCAGCCTGCTCTAGTGGAGAGAGCACTGGCATGCAGAGTCAGAGAGACTCAGGCCTGTGTAGTCACTTAATCTCTCAGAGCCTCAGCTTCTTTATCAGTAAAATGGAGATAAAAGTAGCACCTGTCCCCCGGGATTGTTTTGAGAATTGCATGTACATAAAATATTTTGCAAAACTTAAAATGTCATGTAAATGTGAGCTGTTGTTAATAGTTGCTTACTTGCCCATAGATTAATTTGTACTTGTCCCTTCTTCCTGTCCGCCTTCTTGAATTCCTGAGTGCATTATATTTGGGTTCATCCTTTGGCATCTTGGGAATTGATCACTGGAAGTGTTTTAAACCCTGGCTCTGTATGTATGCAAAAAGGTTTGAATTGAAAAAGAGTTCTGAAATGCCAGGAGTATGTTTTATGTGTTGGTGGTAATCTTTTTAATTTTGTCCTTGTCCTAAGATCTGTTACTCTAATTCTGTGTACCCAAGGAAGTGTGGAGGGATAGTGAAGGATAAATTAATTTTTTATCAGTGTTTGAAATTTTAGTCCTCCTTGTTTC